AGAGCTCTTACAACTCTTGATGCTCAGGCTGGACCTGAGGCTAATTAAATGAGAATTTCTGGAGGTGGACCCAGACACCTATATTTTTCCTTTTGTATTTAAAGCCCTTGAGTGATTCTCAAGGACAGACAATGTTGGGAACCAGGACCTGAGAAGGACGACAGGCAGACCAGACAGACTACTGCCAAGGTCCTTCAGGGAGTTCCAGGGGATGTTAATCCAGATCGTTTTAGCTTAAAGAGTAACAGATAGTTAAGACACACTCCCTGAACATGACATTCAGCTCTTCATTCATTCATTCATTCATTCAACCAATATGCACTGAGTAGCTACAATGCCCCATGATGCAGGGGCTATCAGATCCTCTTCCCTTCCTCTGAAGAAGACAGAAAAAAAATTAGGTAAGCCTGTAAGGAATATTTATAAACTCTGATGAATGCTATAAGGAAACAGATGCTGAGAGAGAATAAAGTGCTGAGAGAGAACGAACTGTCCTGAAGAACTGAAGAACCATTACCCAACAGGCTCAAATAAGAAATATTTAACTCCCTAGGAATATGTACTTCTGGTGTGACTTATTATTTACTCTTGTTTTATGTTTGTTTGGTTGGTTGGTTGTTTGACACAGGACCTGGCTATGTAGACCAGGCTGGCCTCACAACCTTGATGCCTTAGCCTCTTGAGTATTGGGATTACAGATGTGCGCCACTACATCTAGCACTATTTACTCTTGATTAGGCATTTTATAATTCTGAAAGGGTATATATTAACTTGTCTGTTAGCTAACAAATTCTTGTTTGACATCAATGCAAACAAATTGCATCTTAGAAAAGAGTACTATAGTCAGTTGCACTTTTATTGCCCTGTAAGGCATTATTAACCAGTTTTATACATTATTTAGCAATCTATTCCAGCATCTTTTCTTTCCATGATTATAAATACTTCTGAGTCTATACCTTCTAGAACCAGCCTTACCGTGTGCTAGTTCCATCATTAATGAATTTGACAAGACCTACTTTAGGTAAGATGGTAAGAACAGTTTCTGAATCCTGAAGAATGAGGAGTCAGTCATGGGAAACAGAGAGGAAGACGTGAATCCTGGGAACCTAAGACCTTAAAACAATATGGCATATATCCTGCAACAAGAAAGAGATCACCCAGAAACAGCTAGAAGGTCATGAGGTTAAGGGACAAAGTGAAAGCAAAGGGGTAAATTCTAAAATGAGGATGGAAAAGTAGACAGCAATTGGATTATGGAGGGTCTTACAGATCAGTGCAGGAACTCTGAATTATGGACTATGCACCACAAGCAAACCAGTCAGGTGCCGTGATTCACTCCTGTAATCCTAGTTACTTGGGAGGCTAAGACTGGGAAGATCATAGTTTGAGGCCAGCTTGAACAAACAGTTTGAGAGACCCCATCTCAACCAGTAACTAGGCACAGTGTTTCATGCCTGTCATCCCAAGATATGTGGGAGACTAAGATCAAGAAGATCATTGTTCCAGGCCAGCTTGAGCAAAAAAAGTTCATAAGACTACATCTCAATGGAAAAAGCTGGGTGTGGTGGTGCACACCTACAGATGGAAGTGTAAGGACTGGCAGAGTGGCTCGAGCAGTAGAGCACCTGTCTAGCAAGCATGAAGCCCTGAGTTCAAACCCCAGTACCACCCCCCCAAAGAAAGAAAGCAAACTACTGGAGGGTTTTAAGGAAGGGGACAAAATGATGTCTATTTAGAAAAGGACACCACTCTTTTCAATGCTGGAAATGAGATAGGAATAGAAAAGACAGGAGGCCAGAGAACCAATGACAAAACCATTGTGTTCTCCAGGTAAGGGGTGGGAGATGACCTGTTTTAGTAAGGACAAAAGGATGGAGGCAACAGGCAGAAAGACTGGAGCCATAGTGTCAGAACTTTTGATGGATTACATTGCGAGTAAGGTAAATGGGAAAGCCAAAAAGACCTCTGGTTTTCTGGCTTGAGCATCTGGGGGTGGGGTTCACATCACAACAAAGAAGACTAAGAAACAGAGGTTAACACACACATACACATAGGCACATGTCATTCATAAACTAAGAGTATCCATCCATAACTCCCAAGGAATGACTCCCTAGGGGTGACAAGGTTACCACAGCCTTTCAGGTTAGGTTCTCACAGAGCTTTCTCTTTGGCCTTCAATGTTTGTGTCATCAAATATTAAGGCAGTGGATTGCAAGCAACAAAGTGGAAAATTCTAAGTGGGAGCTCAAAGTTTGACCCAAACTTGTCCTCATTCTTACTCAATGCATGCTCACTGCAAATAACTTTTACTAATACATCTTTAAATGAAAGAAGATACTTCAGAATTAACTCTGGGTACACTTAAACCCCCAGAGGTAAAAGGCAGCATCAGTGTTTACAAAACACAAATAAGAAAGCCTTTATATTTGTGAGACAGTATTAGTCTTTTACAAAAATGATAACTGACAATCCTTCTCTAAAGCTCCTGGGAAGTTAAGCTGTAGATCTGGGCACAAATCAAGTAAAAGGTTTAAGTATAACTTAAAATACACAACAAATGTGTTAAAGTTTATTCTTATGTACAACGAACAGCTCTAGCTTTTCTAGAAGATAAAGTTGGAAAATGCTACAATAAAGCTTAATGATCATTCATAATAAATAAAAACCATCAATGCCTATGACAAACCTAAATTCAATGTGATACAACTTTCAACTATCAAGGGCAAAGAACCAAATTCTATAGCACCAAGGGATGCCTTTTGGGTCTACTTTTTGTCCCATTAGGAAAATATTCCATGACTACAAGTACCTACTACAAGGAAAGATATTGAAAAGAGGCTATTTTGTGTAGTAATTAAGAGGTTGGGGGCTCAGAGTGGTGGTTCATGTTTGTAATTCCAGCACTGGAGAGGCAGAGGCAGAAGGATTGGAAGTTGGAAGTCAGACTGGGCTATGTACTGAGACACTGTGTCAAAAAAACAAGGGCTAGGGATGTAGCTCAGCAGTAGAGCACTTACCTAGCATGTGCAGGGCCATCCCCAGCACTAAGTGGGGGTAGAGGAACTAACCTTAGGTCCCTAGGCAAATGACTCAACCTCCCTAAACTTCAATTTCTACATCTGTAAGATAGGGACAATAAGAGCACTATCACAGAGATTTCAGTATTCAGCCACAACTAGTTCTTCCTTGCAGGTACAGGAAACAACTGTGATCCCCCAGTCTACTCTGCAGTGAAGCAGATCCATCCATGGACAAGATCTGACAAACACTGTGAACAGCAATAACATGAATCACATCCAGGCCAAAGAAATGTAACTGTTAGGGTGAGAAGCCCTTTCCCTGTTCTAGCAATTGTGGGGACAAGTAATATGTTAAATGTGCCATAGGGTAAAGCATCAGGAGCACAGAGGCCACCACATGGAGGGCAGCCATCCTACAGGGTCACTCTGCAAAGTGGGTCACAAACCTGTATCTAGTGAAAGCATTGAGAGTGCAGTGCCAAGCTTTCCCAGCTTATCTTAAGCAGTGCAAACTACAAGCACTGCACCTAATTTAGTAAGATGCTGTAGGGATGAAATGAGACAGTGCCTGGTACTCTAAGCCCTTGACAGAGCTTAGCATGATAACCATGGCCTCCTGAGTGTTACCTGAAAGGGCTTTGCCTCCCATAGCTGGCTATGGCAATCTTCTCACATATTTGGATTGTCCATGGGGTCTCTACGGACTAATCATAAATCCTGAGCCCCTTTACATGCCTAGCAGAACCTTCACAGAACAGGCACAGCAATGTGAACCTAAGAAGGCAATTGTTACCACAGTGAATTATCAAAGGACCTCAGTGCATTCCTTCAATAGTCAACTTTCTCATATAGATTGTTTTTTTGGAGGTACTTGGTTTTGAACTCAGGGCCTTAGGCTTACTAGACAGCTGATCTACCACTTGAAGCATGCTCCAGCCATTTTTGCCTTTGTTATTTTTTTAATAGGGTCTTGCGTTTTTGCCCAGGGCCAGCCTCAGACCACAATCCTCCTATCTAGGCCTCCTAGTATCTGGGATCACAGGTGTGCTCCACCATGCCCATCTTATTTGCTGAGATGGGATCTCACTAACTTTTTGCCCAGGCTGGATTTGAACCATGATCCTCCAGATCTCTGCCTCCCAAATAACTGGAATTACAGGTATTAACCACCATGCCTGGCAACTTCGTACAGATTTTTAAAACTGCTACTGAGGCCACAGAAATAATGCTACTACTTGGGGGCTTTGCTTTTTTGTTTATTGTGGAAAGTATTCAAGCATATAATAGGCAAGGGACAGGGATGGCAGGATAAGAAAATGTTAAATCAGAATTCTTAGAAGATAAATTCATTCTGCCAAAATTTTGGTAGCCCCTAAGACATCAGAACAGTGATTTGGGAATAGGAATTAAATGATAAGGACAAAGCTGGGCATGGTGGCACATGCCTGTAATCCCAGCACTGGGGAGGCTGAGGCATGAGGATCGCAAATTTCAGGCCACAAAGCAAGACCCTATGTCAAAATAAATAAGAAGAAAAGATGAGTACATCTGATATGACTGGCACAAGTGGGAGAGAGAAAAAAAGGCATAGTTCAACTCAACTGTCCCATTAGCACACCCCTAATCAATAAGAGAACCTTAAATGATATTACAGGTACCTCAAGTGGAAAATTAAACTGAATGTGATTATTTTGCCACAGGTTCTAGAATTCCTTCCCTAATCTCATCCTGCTAAAGGACAGATCTACTTCTACTGCAAGTCAGTTAAAAGGAACTAATCTCAGGCAATCTCTGAATTTTATTCCCATTTAAAAAAGAAAGAAAATAAGCTACCTACTGAGTTTTCTTATTTTATTTTACAGGAGTTGCAGGAAGCTAGGAGAAATTCTACAAAAGTTTATAGAACAGGCCTTAAAACCACTAAAAACAGTTCTCATAAGAAACCTGTCACAGACAATAAAACATATGTGAGCTACTCACCACATGTAATACTCTCCATCCGCACAGGGAGGCCAGACTGTGCCGCAGCAATCAATTTCAGGGCGACATAAAACTGTGTCAGACCAAAATAACCAACCCGCTTTGCACCACACAGATCTGTGATCTGAAAACAGACAAGAAAAACGATGATGAGAACCCCATTTCATAACAGGAAAATGAGACCAGCTACATGATGAAACCTCAAAGATTTCACAGTGTAGCTAACCAGAAAGTCCCTCAGGAGCCTTCATGCACACACTGCCTGCTTGCTTTTTCCTCCAGTTTACAGAGGTTTTTAATTCAGATCACAAAGTTCTACCTACTCATAATATTTCAGAACTGATGATTCTTCTTCTTTCAAAGATAAAAATAAGGTTGACAAACAATGATAGTTACTCTTCTTACAAAGGAGAGTGGATTCTAAGGTACAAAGTCTACAGAGTCACTGGGGTGGACAGAGAACAGATTAGTCATTACCAGTACTTGTGGGCTATTCCTGACTTATCAAAATTATAAAGTTATCAGGCAAAATAATTTCCTAATCATTAAAATGACATGTTGGGTGCTTACTGCAGAGGAACAAGAAAGCACTACACACACACACACATACACACACATACACACTGTGAAGACACTGCAATCATGATTCTCATCCAATCATCCCAAAGCCCAGATGGAACCAAAATGTTACTTCTGTGTAACAACTTCCCAACTTCCTGGGTATAGTTTATTTTCCCTGTGTATGCTGAGAGTACTCTGTCCTATAAATGTTCATCCCATGATATATTGTCTTAGATGTGTTTCAAAATAAAGGGAACAGAGGAATAAGTAGGCATATGGGTGAAGCAAGCATAACTGAGTTAATAATTGTTGGAGTCAGGTTCGTGGGGGTTCATTCTCCAGATCCAAGTTTTGTGTTGTCACATGACCATTAAACTACCACCACTACAGAAGATTCTGAAAGGAATCCTACACACAGAAGATGAAAACAAACATAACCATGAAAGGATGGGAAACATTAAACCTCAAGAGAAGAACAGACAAGTAATCAGATACTAGCACAGAATTAGTGGCACACTCACAAACTCTTCCACAACAAAAGAAACTAAATGGCAGGAATCACCACATACCTCACAATATTAACTCTGAATGTTAATAGCCTCAAATCCTCCAACAAAAGACAGTGATTGGCAAACTGGATTAAAAAGGAAGACCCGACAATCTGTTGTTTACAAGAACTCCACCTTGCAGACAGAAACAAACATTGCCTTAGGGTGAAAGGGTGAAATGCCCAACCCAAAGCAGACAGGAGTAGGAACACTTACACAGATAAAGTAGATCAAACATAAGTAAGTCAGAGGAGACAAAGAAGGTCACTTCACTAACAAAAGGAGCAATACATTGAGAGGAAATAATAATTGTTAACTTATATGCACCAAATGTCAGTGCACCCAACTTCATTAAACATACACTACTGGACTTAAAAACACAGACTCCAACACAGTGGTGGTGGGGACTTCAATACTCCTCTATCACCAATACATAGATCTTCCAGACCAAAAAAAAAATCAATGAAGAAACTCTAGAATTGTGTGACACCATAGATCAAATGGACCTGACAGATGTCTACAAAGTATTCCATCCTGCAACAGCACAATACACATTCTTCTCAGCAGCCTGAGACTTTCTCCGAAGTAGACCATATTTTAACTCACAAAACAAATCTTAAAAATTATAAGAAAATTTAAATAACCCCTTGCATACTGTCTGACCACAACACAATAAAACTAGAATTCAACAACAAATGAAAAAGCAGAAAATACTCAAACACCTGGAGACTGAACACATGTTACTCCATGATCAGTGGGTTGTCAAAGAAATAAGGGAGGAAATCAAAAAGTTCCTGGAACTTAATGAGAATGAAACCACAAGCTATCAGAACCTATGGGACATAACAAAGGCAGTCCTAAGGGAAAAGTTTATAGCCATTAGAAGGACTGGTGGAATGGCTCAAGTGGTAGAGCGCCTGTCTAGCAAGTGTGAGACCCTGAGTTCAAACCCCAGTTCAGCCAAACAATAGGAAAAAAAAAAGGTTTTTAAGCCAGGTGCTGGTGGTACAAACCTGTAATCCTAGCTACTTAGGAGGCAGAGATCAGGAGGATCGAGGCCCGAAGCCAACCTGGGCAAATAGTTTGCAAGACCCTGTCTCAAAAAAAAAATCACAAAAATAGGGCTAGTGGAGTGGCTCAAGGTGAAGGCCCTGAGTTCAAACCCTAGTACTTCAAAAAAATCAAATCAGAAATGAAAAGGGGGAGATAAAAACAAACCCTAAGGAAATCCAGGGAATCCTTAGGGACAAGTTTGAAAACCTATATTCAAAGAAACTGCAAAATCAAGAAGAAATGGATAAATTTCTAGACACATATGACCATCCAAAATTGAACCAAGAGGATATTAACCTCTAAACAGATCTATATAACAAGCAATGAAATTGAAGCAGCAATAGTCTCTCAAAAAAGAAAAGTCCAGGACTTGAGGGATTCACTGTTGAATTCTACCAGACTTTTAAAGAAGAACTAATACCAACATTCCTCAAACTTTTCCATGAAATAAAAAGGGAAGAAACACTGCCAAACTCATATTATGAAGCCATCCCAAAACCGGACAAGGACAACAACAATGGAAAAAGAAAATTATAGGATAACCTCTTTAATGAACATAGATGCAAAAAATCCTCAATAAAATATTAGCAAACTGAATTCAACAGTATATCAAAAAGATCATACACCATGATCAAGTTGGTTTCATCCCAGGGATGCAGGAATGGTTCAACATATGCAAATCATTAAGTAAAATACAGCATATTAAGAGAAGCAAAGTCAATAACCACATGATCATTTCAATAGATGCAGAAAAAGCCTTTGATAAGATTCAACACCATTTCATGATAAAAGCGCTATGAAAACCAGGAATAGAAGGAATGTACTTCAACATAATAAAGGCTATATATGACAAGCCTAGAGCCAACAACATACTAAATGGGGAAAAACTGAAACCATTTCCTCTAAAAGTCAGGAACAAGACAAGGGTGTCCACTCTTTCCGCTCTTATTCAACATAGTCCTGGAATTCCTAACCAGATCAATAAGACAGGAAGAAATAAAAGGAATACAAACTGGAAAGGAAGTAGTCAAAGTATCCCTATGTACAGATGACATGATCTTATTATACCTAAAAGCCCCAAACAAAAAAACTCCTAGACACCATAAATAGCTTCAGCAAAGTAGCAGGATACAAAATCAATTTACAAAAATCAGTAGCCTTTCTATACACCAACAATAAACAAACTGAGAAAGAATATAGGAAAATAATTCCATCTGCAATAGCCTCAAAAAAATAAATAAAGTGTCTAAGAATAAACTTAACAAAAGATGTGAAAGACCTCTACGAGGAAAACTATAAACCACTGAAGAAAGAAACTGAAGAAGACTACAGGAGATGGAAAGATTGCTCATGCTCATAGATTGGTAGAATCAATATTGTGAAAATGGCTATATTACCAAAAGCAATCTACATGTTCAATACAATCCCCATCAAAATTCCAATGACATTCATCTCAGAGATTGAAAAATCTACTCTAAAGTTCACTTGAAAGCACAAAAGACTGTGAATAGCCAAGGCAACACTGAGCAAAAAGAGCAATGCTGGAGGTATTACAATACCCAACTTCAAACTATACTACAGAGCCATAGCAATAAAAACAGCATGGTACTGGCACAAAAACAGATAGGAAGACCAGTGGAACAGAAGACCCAGATATGAATCCATGCAGCTACGTCCACCTTTTGACAAAGGCACCAAAGACATATGAAGGTAAGAAAGACAGCCTATTCAACAAATGTTGCTGGGAAAACTGAATATCAGCCTGCAGAAAACTGAAACTAGATTCATGTCTCTCACTCTGTACAAGTATCAACTCAAAGTGGTTTAAGGATCTGAACATAAGACCTGAAACTTTGAAGCTAGTGCAGGAAAGAGCAGGGAACACATTGGAATTAAAAGGCATCAGCAATAACTTCTTCAATAGAACTCAAATGGCTCAGCAACTAAGAGAAAGCATTAACAAGTGGGACTACGTGAAATTAAAAAGCTCTGCACAACAAAAGAAGTGGTCTCTAAATTGAAGAGGCAGCCCACAGAATGGGAGAAAATCTTTGCCAGCTATACATCTGACAAGGGATTAGTAACCAGAATACACAAAAACTAAACTCTCAAAAAATCAGTGATCCAGTGAAGAAATGGGCAAATGAACTGAACAGAGCTTTTTCAAAGGAAGAAGTCTGAATGGCTAAAAAACACATGAAGAAATGCTCAACTACCCTGGCCATAAAGGAAATGCACAAAAACACATTAAGATTCCACCTCACTCCTGTTAAAATAGCTACCATCAAGAACACAAACAATAACAAATGTTGGCAAGAATGTGGGGAAATAGGAACCCTCATACACTGCTGGTGGGAATGTAAACTAGTACAACCACTATAGAAAACAGTATGCAGGCTTCTTAAAAAACTAAACATAGATCCTGCATTTCCACTCCTAGGGATATACCCAAAGGAATGTTAAGTCAGGTGCCTTACAACAAAGGCACCTGCATACCCATGTTTATTGCAGCATTATTCACAACAGCTCAGCTACGGAAACAGCCAAGATGGCCCACTACTGATAAATGGGTTAAGAAAATATGGTATTTATATACAATGGAATTTTATTCAGCCACAAAGAATGAAATTTTGTCACGTGCAGGTAGATGGGTGGAACTTGACAGCATCATCTTAAGTGAAATTAGCCAGGTTCAGAAGGCCAAAAGCCATATGTTTTCTCTCATATGTGGAATATAGACCTAATACTAATACAGCAGTATTATGAAAAACAGGTCACGTTAAGGGGAGGTCACATCTGAGAAGGGGAGGGTAAAAGAAGGAAGTTAAGAAGGTGAATATGGTTGATGTACTTCCTTTACAAGAATGAATACAGAATTTTTAAACCTGTTGAAACCACCATAAGAAGTGAGTTAAAGTAGAAAGAAGAAAATTTGAGATGAATCAATTCAGGTTATAATACATATATACATGGAAATGTCCCAAGGAAACTCCTTGTGTAGCTATCTTAAACAAACAAAAATGTTATTTTTTTTCTTTTACAAAATCGGAGAACAAGAGGGCAAAACAGGTCCTGCCTGGGGGGGCTGGTGTCAGAGAAATGGGGAAGGAGATGGGGAAAGGGCATGAGAGGGTGAATATAGCACAAATACTGTGCACACATGTAAGTGGAAAAATGATACCTGTTGAAACTGTTCCAAGAATGGGCGGAGGAAGGGATAAAGGACAATAGTGGAGGGGGTGAATTCAAGTATATTTGATATATTGTA